GTAGTGGAGCGGGGATTCACGGATGCTGCGGTTGCGCTTTCTTGAGCGCATTGCCGCTGATGTCAAAGAACATCGTTCTGCTCTTGTTTCTGGTTGCTTGCGCAGAGCCAGGCTCAAGCCATTCCTGCTCTTCCAACAAATTCAAATCAAGAGTTTGATTCGCAAACTGTGGTGCTAGCTCGTGTCTTCCGTCTCGCGTGGTGTAGCCGAGTCCTCTTACGAATCGGTCGAGTTTCGGTCTGTCCAAGTACTTTGTCATGAGATCGCCGGGGCTGTCGTCAGTGCCGATTTTTCGGATGACGAAATCGTTGTTTGCGAGTCTCTCTTGAACCCACAAATACTGGGTGTGAAGATGTTTCACTTTACCCAGTCCTCGCCTGGATGCGATCCCTTTTGCTGCTGAGCTGTCAGTGCTCAGACGCCCTTTCAAAACAATGCCAAAGTCAGATGGTAATGACAAAGCTCCTAACAACACACTTGCACCTTTTACTATTCCGTAAAATTCTGCTTCCCCGGAGCTTAGTGCAATCACGCTTTGTGTGCTGCTCCAAGATTTAATTGTGTGCAAGCCAAACATTAGTGCTCCTCCGTTTGTGCTCTTGCGTGTTCTTAAACATCCTGCATGGTCTGTGTCAACAACTACATCTAAAAACGAACATGCTTCTTGAAACGGGTATTGTAAAATGATCCTTGGTCGGCCTTTCAAATAACGCGCAAGTCGCTTCATTTTGTTCCAATGGCCGAACGTTGGTTGTTGCATTCCTCTCGCGAGCTCTTTCGCTGCGTACTGAATGTCGCTTCTGTCTTGTGCTACGTAATTTATTCTCATGCACAGGGATCTGAATGATTTAACCATTTCTGGAGAAAGTGGTCTGAGGTCAGAGTCAGAATCTAACGTTTCCTTGACACCAGGAGTGGAGCACGTCTTCGATCGCTCTTCCTGGATGCCACTGTCTCTGATGACTAGCTCAATGTGCCTTTGGTCACATTCGTATTCAATGCCATCTCCTGTCCAAGACACGATCCTGTTGAGAATCCGGACGCTCTTGTCGTCGCCGTCTTCCGGCCCAAGAGTTGCCTTTACTTTTAAGGCCATCGATGCTTTCAACACCTCTGTGAGCCACTCAAGGCCGTCGTCGTCTGAGGAAGCTGTAAAATCATCGCCGTGCACAACTAATCGTACGTCCCTTGTAGATTCGTAGAAAATTCAAGGACTAGAACGACCTTGAATGAATCCGGCTTGGGTCAACACTCTAGTGTAGAACCGTTCCCAACCTTGAGCTGCGTCTCTGGTCCCGTACATGCAACGAGCCAGTTTGCCTACCATCCCGGGTTCGGAATCTTGCTCCGGAAGCTCAATGTACACATCCCGGATGGCATCTGCGTGGAAATACGCACGAACAGCATCAATGAAACGAATCTTGAAAGGTTTGCCTGATTTGTGGACCCTTTGGGTTGCCACCTGACTGAACAGAAACTTTTTCGCCTCAAGCGGGGGTGTGGCTGCGAACAAATCTGTGCGTTTGTCTCGCTTCACCTCCCTAGCTACCAATCGTGCTCTGATTTCTGGATTTGTCTCGTCTCCTTTGTTTACAATTACCCATCGTGTTGAGATGGGGGGTTTCCCTGTGACCTCAAATGCTTCTGATCTGGGGACTTTGACGTAGACTTCATGTTTCTTGTATTCGTCGATTTCTTTCGTCATTGCTTCTTTCACGAGTTGCTCTGGCAATTTAGCACCTGTGTTGTCATCAAAAACTTCCTGTTCACACGACCACTCGTCGAAATCAAAACTGGGCTCTTCACAACAGACAGTGCCAATTGAGAACGGGTAGGCTTTCCCGTCTGCCTTCAACTGCTCACGGAATCCTCTCAAAACAGCTGCACGTACCCTCGGCGACAGAAATGACGAAATGTGCATTCCTCCATCTAGCTCCAAACGTTGAGAAAACACTGATGTGAACACACTTGACTTGGACAATTCTGCTTTCAACTCCGATGCAAGATACGAGCTGTTTGTCACGAAAGAAAACAATTTGCCAAAATGACTGTTTGAAATCCTCCGTGAAATTTCACATTGTAGCAAAGACTGCATTGCCGGATGCCCCTGCACAGCGGCTGACTCCGGTTGCACATCGAGGAAATATCTTCCACTGTTGCTCTGCTCTCTGAGCAAATCGACACACGAAGAAACATGTTTAGCATGCCGGGTCTGGTTTCGGAAGTTGCTGGCCGATGACGTTATTAATAACAACGGCTCGTTCTGTCGTGTGGTCCCGCGTGCTGCATTCAAATCAGCTGCACTGCTGAAGTCGACTGTTCTGTTGTTACATTTACCATGTACGCTAAAATCTGAAACAAAGCCTGGATTCAAACCAAAACTGCCTGACAGTGCAGAAACACGTGGAGCCTTGAAAACCTCTTGGGCGTTAGATGTGGAAGCTAATCCAAAATTACGATACCATTGCGCAAGACTACACAAATCTCCTTTGGATGCTTT